TCCTGCTGCTCCTGCTGCTGCTGCTGCCGCCGCTGCTGCTCTTGCTGCTGCTGCTGCTGCTCTTGCTGCTGCTGCCATCGCCGCTGCTGCCGTCGCCGCTGCTCCTCGTCTCGAAGCCAGCCGCAAACCCGCTGTGCCACAGCCTGGATGCGTGCGTGCCCTCCTGGCGCATTGCTGTCAAACATCGGCATTCCTGGCCACTCTTCCGAGGCAAGCAGCTGCTTCAGCTCCCGAGCCAAGTCAGGTGCCGCGTTCAACATGGCCGCAGCCGCCGCTTTAGTGTCGGCGGTGTGGCGGGCGGCGGCCTCCACTGCCTGGGCCAGGTCTGCGGGCCAGGGGGCCATGCACCTGACGCCGCCAGGGGCGTCGAAGTGGGTCCGCACAATGCGGATTGCGCTCTGCATGGCCACCGCCGCAGCGGGCAGAAGCGCGTCGGCGATGGCACGTGCGTGATCTGGATGCACCGATGGCTCGGACAGCAGATCGGCAAACACAACAGCCGCTTGGTCTATTACGGCAATGCAGGGATGGACGTTGGTTTCCTCGCCCCCTGGCATGACGCCGCCTGAGACACGCATGACATTGGCGGGGCCACCACCAGTAATATCATCGATGCACAGGTGTGCCATCAGGGCCTGGCACGCCGCGGGCGAAGTGGCCACCAAGCGCGCGAGGTGCGCCGTCCTCTGGACGTCACCAAAAGTAAGACTACTAATTGCCCCCAATAACTCAAAGGTGCAATTTGACCCTGCAACCCCGGGCCGCCCGAGAATGGACAGCAACAGGTGGATGCTGGCTTCCCATGCCTGGGCGGCGACTGCTGTGCGCGACAGGCCCCGCAAGACGTACAGCGCGGGCAGCATCATGTGCTCGCTGCCGTCGGCTGCGCGGGCGCTCATCAGCAGGCAGCGCCGTAGCTGGTCAATGCCGCCTGCCGCCGCCAGCAGGCCTGGGACCCGCAGCAACAAAGGAGAGCGGTGTGCGCCAGCAAGGGGCGGGGGCCAGGTCGGCGTCAAAGCTGGGTGGTTTGATATAGCGGCCAGAGCTCAGCTCTAGGCGAATCAGGCGGACCTGCCTCAGCAGCCGCTGCCAGCCATGAAAGGTGCCAGCGGGGCATCCGGCGGTTTCAACTCAGGTTTTTGGCTGCGATGGGACATGGTGCTGCACTGGCTACCGCATCACACCCACCTGCTGCACGCTCCGTGAATGGGGGCGACGCCAGGACCACGGCGAGGGATTCCAAGACAAACACCGCGGCCTTGGTGGAGGGCGCTGCGGCCAGCAGCCGCACGGCCACACGGACCAGGCTGGGCAGAGCGTCCACCGCCTCGCGCAATGGCAGCTCCGCCTCACGCTCAGCCGCCGCCGCCGCCGCTGCCGCTGTCGCGAAGGGCGTGTTGCACTCTTCAACGCCACGTGACCAGAAGCCGCCCGCCACAAACTTTAGAAAGCAGGCAACATCTTCCGGCGGCGGTGCGGCTGCGTCTGCGCTGGCAAGCGCCGCCGCGGCTGCTCGGACGGCTGCTTGGTTGCCGTGGGCCCGCGTGCGTGCTGCTGGGCTGACCGTGCACAGCTGGCCCAGAGCCTCCACCGCCATCAACCGCACATTCGACTTGCCAGGGCGGAGATCCAGCCGCAGAGGCGGTGAGGCCCCTTCAAAGCCGTGGCCGACAACCTCCAGCAGCAGGTCTGCGGCGTCGCCGCCGTCGCCGGCGCCGCTGATAGAGAGGACGGCCTGCATCCCTGCTGGCTTGAAGCAGAATATTGATAAAATGCCTACTATGACATGCTTGAGTGGCACCGGCTGGCCCCAGGGCACGGGGCCCGGGTGACGCCGCGCCACAGCTACTATGGCTGCGGCCATCCCGGGCCGACCGGCAAGCTGCAAACATAGCGCAGGGAGCGGCGGGTGGCGCGTTGGTGAGGAGGCAGTGCCACTGGCGGCCAGTGGCCGGGCTGGGGATCGTGTTGGACGGGTGCAGCGCGTGTGGGACGCTGTTCGCCACCCTCTGCTCGCTGAATTTGGTCTATGGGCCTGCGACCATGGAGATTAGCCTTGGTGCGCCCTCACCTGGCACAACCTGGCACCGCCGCTGCTGGAGCTGAATGCTCCAGGCTCCAGCAACGCAAGCAGCGCCCTGGCGGCAAGTGTCGCCGGCGCCGCGCCCCCACTCGTCAGCAGCTGCTGCAGGGTCTTAACCTGTGCCTCCGGCAGCGCGCTGACGGGATCAGCCGTAGCTGCAGCCATCAGCTCAGCCAGGGCCCGCTCAGCGTCGCGGCGCGTTGATGCTGCGCCTGGCGCGCGCTCCAGCACACGCGAGAGGGACAAGGCTCGGCTTAACGAGCTGATGATTTCTGGAGACGCCATCACGTTTATCAACGTTTGTTGCCGAGTCTCTACCGCTGCCAGCGTCTTTCAGTGTTCGTGATCTCCGATGCTGGAATCGTGTACTAAACACAAGCGCAGTCGAGGCTGCACCAATCAGCGTGATCTCTTATAAACATAATAGTTTGAATCACCAGCTGAGTGTTAGACAGGGGCGTTGGGCAGCTGCAGGGTTGATTGTTCTGATACGTGCCAATGCTCAGCATTGCTCATGCTGTTTGCAACAATAACATCATAGTGCAAGCAGGAGCCCTTTCACACCACAACAGATGACTGGTGGCTATGTTGAGATGATAATGCAAGACTATGGTGGTGCTTGCATGATTCAGCTGGGTGGATGCTGTTGTCGTCCTGCAAGGTCACATCACACCCTCCTGGTCAACGCCCATATCATCAACTGCCTTACAGAGTGTTGTTCACATACTTGACTGCATCAACTTGCACATGTTCACCACATAGATAATTCACTTGCTTTGCTGTGCGGCTACCTGCGCCGCCTTGCAAGCAGGGCGGTGGCCGGGCCACTGCCGCCTCATGCACTCCTCGCCGCAGTAGCGCACCTGCCGGCAGCCGCGGCAGAGCCGCAGCCGCACACTGTTGCCGGCTGCCTCAATCGCACCGCACCCAGCGCATGCGCTAGCCGGCGCTTGCAGAGCGGTGGCAGGTAGGGCAGGCAGCAGCTGCTGAAGGTGCTGGTCTTGCTGCTGCTGCTGCTGCTGCTGCTGCTGCTGCTGCTGCTGCTGCTGCTGCTGCTGCTGCTGCTGCTGCTGCTGCTGCTGCTGCTGCTGCTGCTGCTGCTGCTGTTGTTCCTGCTGCCTGCGCTGCTGCTCCTGCTGCTGCTGCCCTTGTTGTCGCTGCTCTTGCTGCTGTTGCTGCTGCTGTTGCTGTTGCTGCTGCCTTCGCCGCTGCTCCGCGTCTTGGAGCCAGCTGCAAACCCGCTGTGCTGCCGCATGAACGCGTTGGTGCCCACCAACCGCCTTGCTGTCGAGGACTGGCACGTGTGGCCACTCACTGGAGGCGAGCAGCTGCTCAAGCTCCCGAGCCAGGCCAGGCGCCGCGTCAAACATGGCCGCCGCGGCTGCATTGGTGTCGCTGGTGTGGCGGAAGGCGGCCAATACAGCCCGGGCCAGGTCTGCTGGCCAGGGGGCCGTGCGGTTGCCGCTGCAGGGGGCGTTGCATTGGGTCTGCACCATGCGGAGCGCCCCCTGCATGGCCACCGCTGCAGTGGGCAGCAGCGCGTCAGCGATGACGCGCGCATGATCTGGGTGCACGGATGGCTGCGAAAGCAGCTTGTCAAATGCAACTGCAGCTTGGTCCATCAGTGCTATGCACTGATGGACATTTCTAACGTCACCCTCTGGCATGGCGTCGCCAAAACCACTGTTGGCATCGGGCAGACTACCACTGGGAGTCTCATCAATGCACAGACAGGCCAACACAGCTTGGCACGCCGAAGGCGAAGTGGCCAACAAGCGCGCGGTCCTGCGGGTGTCAAAAAACGCAAGACTGCACGTTGCCCCTATCAGCTCAAAAGCACTCTGCGTAACCCCAGGGCGCTGCAGAATGGACAGCAGCAGGTGCACATTGGCTTCCCACGCCTGGGAGGAAACGGCTGTGTGCAAAAGGCGCTGCAATACCCCCAGAGCGGGCGGTAGAATGGCCTCGCTGCCGCTGACTGCTCGGGCGCCTACCAGCAGGCAGCGTCGGAGCTGTTCAACACCACCTGCAGCCGCCAGTAGGCCTACAATTCGGAGCGATGCAGGCGAGTGGGGTGCGCCGGGAGCGGGGGACATGTCGAGGTGTGGGAAACAATCAAAGCTTTGAGGTGCAATCTCGCGCTGGAGCCTACCAGCTTCCGGCTGCCGCTGCCGGCCGTTGGTGGTATCAATGGCACAGTCAGGGGTTTCGAATTGGGCGTTTGGCAAAGCCAGTACTAGCTGCTGCACTGGCTGCAGCATCACACCCACCTGCTGCGCGCTCTGTGATCTCCGGGCTGCCCAGCACTATGGCGAGGGTACTCAAGGCATGTACCACCACCTGAGTGGAGGGCGCCGCCGCCAGCCGCACTGCGACGCGAATCAGGCTGGGTAGAGCGTCCGCCAGCTCTCGCAAGGGCGGCTCCGCCGCATGCCCCGTCTCACGCTCGGAAGCTTCCGCCGCGGTTGCTGTTGCGCGGGGCGCCGCGTACTCTCTGATTGCACGTGACCCAAGTCCAGCTGCTATGAAACTCAAAAAGCAGGCGACCTCTTCCGGCGGCTGCGCGGCTGCGTCTGCGCTGGCAAGCGCCGCCCCGGCGGCGCGGACGGCTGCCTGATTGTGGTGGGCCCGCACGCAGGCTGACGGGCTGTCCGCGCACAGCTGGCACAGTGCTTGCATTGCTCTCAGCCTCTCATCTGGCATGTGAGGCAGTGCGTTAGCAGGGCACACCTCTTCAAATCCGTGGCCAACCGCCTCCACCAGCAGGTCTGTGGCGTCGCCGCCGTCGCCGGCGCCGCCGACAGAAAGGACGGCCTGCCTCCCCTCTCAATAATGGCAGAATACGGTCAGAAGGGCCACTGTTACAGACCTGAGCGGCACTGGCTCGCCCCAGGGCACGGGGCCTGGGTAATGTCGCGCCGCCGACACCAGTGCTGCGACCATGCCAGGCCACCCAACAAGCTGCAAGCACATCGCAAGGAGCGGCGGGTGGCGCGTTGGGGAGGAGGCGGGACCGGCGCTGGGTGCATGTCGTGTCAGAGGAGTGGGCGTGTGGAGAGCTGCTCAGCAGCCTCTGCTTCGTGGTACTGTTTGTGGCGCTTCGAACATTGGCCCTTATTGCGCCCTCACCTGGCACAGCCTGGCACCTCCGCTACTAATGGAGCTGCGCGCTCCAGGCAGGAGCAGCACGACCAGCACCTTGGACGCAAGTGTCACCTGCACTGCATCCCCACTTGTCAGCAGCTGCTGCAGGGTCCCAACCTGTGCCTCCGGCAGCGCGCTGAAGGGATCAGCAGCCACCGCAGCCGTCAGCTCCGCCATGACCACATCAGCGTTGTGCGTTGATGACGTGCCCGGCGCGTGCTTCAGCACATGCGAGAGGGCCAAGGCACGGTCCAAGGCGCTGATGACGGCCGGGGAAGCCATCACGTTTGTCAGCGTTTGTTGTCGTCGAGTCGATTGGGGTTCTAAGGTTCGTGATCTCCGATGCGGCGAATCGTGTGTAGGAAATTGCAGTCGAGGGTGCACCAATCGGCGTGGTTTCTTTTACTCTGGAAGACCAGCTGAGTGGTTGGCTGGTGTTTCGGGCAGCTGCAGGGTCGGTTGTCCTAGCATGCGCCAATGCTGTGCTCGGCAGTGCACATGCTGTGGTGCTTTGCCCTGCGCTGCCTGCCCCTGGGCGCCGCCAGCAGCGCCACCAGCGCCAAAGGCGCCCTGAGAAGCCGCTGAACCGACAGCGAAGAAACGCGCGAGCATTACTGAGCCAAAAGCAGGACCACCTTCACCAGCAGGCGAGACGAACGAGCGACCAGCCCGCCGCCCACAGACAGAAAGAGAAAAAGCTCAGCGTAGCGCATGCTGACGTGCTGCTTGCGACAATTGCACACTGGAAGATGACGCCCTTTTTCAAATCGCCACAAGTGACTGGCGGCTATGTAATGATGGTCGTGCGCGAGCCAGAGTAGTGCTTGCATGATTCAGTTGAGTAAAATCTGCATTCCCACTGCAAGGTCGCGCCACACCCTCATGGTAAATGCCTGCACCACTGACTGCCTCACACAATAATGTTCAAACACTTGACAGGTTGCACATGTCCAACAAGCGAACAGATCACTCCCTTTGCTGTGCAGCTGCCTGCGCCGCCTTGCAGGCAGCGCGGTGGCCGGGCCACTGCCGCCTCATGCACTCCTCACCGCAGTAACGCACCCGCCGGCAGCCGCGGCAAGGCCGCAGCCGCACGCCGCTGCCGGCCGCCTCGGCCCTGCCACAGCCAGCGCAGGCCGGCATGGGCGGCTCCTGTTGCTGTGCTGGTGGCTGAAGCTGCAGTCGGGGCCCCGGCTGTTGCTGACGCCGCTTTTGCAGACGCTGCTCCAGTTGCATTTGCGGTCGCAGCCGGCGCCGGCTGTCTGCCTCTTGAAGCCGCGTGCAAAGCCGCTGCACGACAGCCTTGGAGTTTCCAGACTGCTGCGGAGCTTCCTCCCAGCTTGCTGCCCCGCTTGGCTGCGCGCTGGGGTGGACCGTGTAAGTGGAGGCGCCATCCCAGAAAGGGAGGGCGAGCAGCTGTTCAAGATCCTGTGTGAGGCCAGGTGCCGCATCCAGCACGCGATCTGCGGCCGCCGCAACGGATTCTCCTGCGCGCGACAGCGCCGCCTCAACAACTTGAGCCACGTAAGAGGGCCAAGCGGCGCCGTGACCGGAGCTGGCAAACGCGGATTCGGCCACGCGCTGGAGGGCTGCGGCTGCAGGCGGCAGCAGTGCGTCCGCGATGATTCGCGCGTGCTCGGGGTCTGCCCCGGGCCCTGATAACACGCTGCAGAAGAGGCTTGCCGCACAGGTGGCTGCGGTAAGTTCAGGGGCCACCCCCACCACCGGCGCGTCCTCTTGGGGCTCGCCGGGTCCCTCCAATTGCGCAGATCGTGCTGACAGAGGCGATACATCACCTGGCGGCACCTTGGCGTGCAATAGTGCTGCTAGGTTGCCCAGCGCCACGGGCGAAGAAGCCAAAAGATGCGCAAGCAACGCCGTCCCCTGGCCGTCACGGAGTGAGAGCAGCCCGATGGTCTGCAGCGCTTTGCTGCCGACGCTCGTCTTGGCAAACATGGGGCGTCCCATCAAGGACAGCAGGGTGGGAAGAACCGCCGCTGGCACCTGGGGTCGCAGCTCCGTGTCTGCTAGGTGCTGCAGGGATGTGAGGGCATATTGGACCAGGAGCTGATTGCCGTTGCCGTTGGCGTGGACGGACAGAACGCGGCAGAGCTCCTGAGTGCCGCCAGCGTCCCAGAGAAGGGCTGCGCATTCGTTGATTTTTTGGGGGGGGGGGGTAACGTTAGACTAGCAGGCAAGGGAGGATGACAGAGGAGGGTGCACCCGCTTGTTTCAGGGGCGGCTTGAGGTTGGGACCGTAGAGAACATGCACCACTTATGTCCAGGCAGGATAGGACACCAACCCTGATGCCTGCGCGACAGCTGTAGCACCCCTCCTCGCACCCGCTCACCTGCCGCTTGCTCCTTGACACTCGGGGAAACCAGCAGCGTTTTGAGGGATTGGGCTGCGTACACAACCACCATGGCGTTGGGCGCGGCCAGCAGCCGCACCGCCCAACGGACCATGCGTTGGACCGCAAGCAAGGCTGCACTGGGCGGGGGCACCTCCACACCTTGAGACCCCGCGTCAGTCGCGGCCCTCGCCGCCGCCATTGCAGGGGAGGCCGGAATCCCGGCGGTTGGGGCTGGGCAGAGGCATACTGCGAGGAAGCCGACTAGGCAGACGACCACGGTGTCTGACTGACCGGTCGCAGATGCCCGCGGGAGGGCGGCCGCGGCTGCGGATATGGTATCCTGATCGCGGCGGACACGCGCGAGGATCGCGGGGCTCGCCACGCACAACGTGTTGAGGGCGCTTAGCACTGAGTAGACAGAGTCGCCCCCTAGGTGCGCCGGCACGGCGCCAGCCGCAGTGGTGGCTTTGAAGGCGTTGGCCGCCGACTCAAGCAGGAAGCCGACGACGTCGCCCCCGTCTCCCGAGTCGGCCGCTGCCAGGGTCATCAGCCTGCCTACGGGCGTGCAGATCATCCTCTGAAGCAGCGTACCGACCATGGCCGCAAACGGCAGCGCCTGGCCAGAGATTGTGATGCGGGGACGGCGGCGCCCGGCGGCCGCCAGGGCTGAAGTGATGCCCGGCCAGCTGCCGAACTGCGCGGGGTGCATGGGGTTGGGGGCAGGGAACAGCTGGGAGCGCTCCCACAGGATTAATATTGATGCATCGTCCCGCGGTTGCCTCATTTAGGCCCACATGATCTGACTTTAAAGCACCCGCATTCAGTGACTGAGGTTCACGTGGACCACAGGGCAGCTGCAGGGACAAATGGGCGTGGCTGCAGGAGGGTGGTGCAGGTGGCGGCTGTGCGTCCTGCTGTGCCACCTGCGCATGCAGCTGACGCAGCGTTTGAACGGATGCGTGCGCACCTGGCCCCGCCTTAGTTCGCCCAGGCAGTCCCCTGGCCGCCTTTCATACGCGAGCAAAGTCGAGATGACCCTGACAGCAAACAGCACCTCCTCTGCCCCGCCCAACAGCAGCTGCTCCAGACCAACAACCAGCGGCATCGGAAGGGGGCTGGTGGGGTCCTCTTGAGCCGCCTGGTCGATCTCTGCCAGCACCGCCTCCACCTTGCGGTGCACCGACGCTGCGTGCGGGTTGCGCTGCAGCGCGGCCCCAAGGACAAGGGCCTGGGAAACGGCGCTGATTAGGGCCTCCGTTGCCATTATGTCCTCGATGTTCGAGCTCATCTTCGCGTTCCGACCTGGAGCTTGTGTTATAGGGACGTGTGATCTCCGAAGCGCCTAGATCGTTTACAATAATGTCAGGAGGACTTTGACATGTGACACGTGTGAGAATGTCGGGACATAAGTCGACCAGCATGTGGCAGCCGTATGTTATGATACCCCCGGCCGACACCTTGAGTCATCAAGTTCCAAGTGGAGTCAAAGCTGGCTGCAAGGTCGGACTGCATCAGCCAAAGTACCGCTTAAACAGAGAGCGTTAGGTGTTGAAAACAACGCACGTGCGACTGTCAACATAGCGCCTCTGCTTGTGACAGCAGATGCGCACTGCCAAAAACCATAATGCAGCTTCCATGCGCGCCCAACAGCCGATTCCTTTTTGAGGCTCGAGGCTGCTGAGCTGCACTGTGGCACTGCACATAACACGGGTAGAATGTGAAGGGCCTGCGGTCACACCCTTGTGGCTATTGCACACGGCTGGGGGTCATGCACATCGGCGGCCCTGCGTAACGGTGGCTGTGCTGAGCTGATGAGTAACCCATTATTGAGGTTGACAGCAGGCACACGCACTTGACCTGATGCTCAACCGCGCAACCCTCCTTTATTCGACGCATCATCAACTCCAATTTACAACTTGCAAGCATTGAAACATGATTCAATATCGTCAAGGCTCAATCTTTCTGTTTTGCAGCTGCCTGGGCCGCCCTGCAGACGGCACGGTGCCCGGGCCACTGCCGCCGCATGCACTCCTCACCGCAGTAACGCACTTGCCGGCAACCGCGGCACAGCCGCAGCCGCACGCCGCTTCCCGCCGCCTCGGCCCTGCCGCAACCAGCACAGGCCGGCACGGGCGACTCCTGTGGCTGCGTAGGTGGCACAGGCTGCAATGGAGGTGCTGGTGTTTGCTGCTGCTGCTGCTGCTGCTGCTGCTGCTGCTGCTGCTGCTGCTGCTGCTGCTGCTGCTGCTGCTGCTGCTGCTGCTGCTGCTGCTGTTGCTGCTGTTGCTGCTGCTGCTGCTGTTGCTGCTGTTGCTGGCTCTGCTCTTGCCGCGTTGGCGGCGGGTGCCGCCGCCGTCGGTCCGCCTGCCCCAGCCGCTCGCAAAGCCGCTGCACGGCTGCCTTGGCGTTTCCAGACTGCTCCGGAAGTTCCTCCCAGCTTGCTGCACCGCCTGGCTGGGCTCTGGCCACGACATCAAAAATGGCGCCGCTATCCCAGAAAGGGAGGGCGAGCAGCCGTTCAAGATCCTGCGCAAGGCCAGGTGCCGCATGCAGCACGCGATCCGCGGCAGCATCAAACCCTCCGGCGCGCGACAGCGCCGCCTCAACAGCTTCGACTAGGTACGAGGGCCACGTGGCGATGCGGCCGCCGCTGGCAAGCATGACACTGACCGCGCGCTGCAGGGCTGCAGCCGCGCCCGGCAGCAGCACATCGGCGATGGCGCGTGCGTCAGGGTCTGAAGCCGGCCCTGACTGCACGTGACAGAGGAGGGCTCCCATACAGGCGGCTTCTGCCATTTCTTGAGGCACCACCGGCCTGTCTTCCTGAGAGCTGCAGGATCCCTCCGGTGCAGCAGCAGCTTGCCCCGACAAAGGCGACGCGCCACCCAGCGGATCCTCGGCGTGCACCTGTGCTGCCAGGCTCCTAAGCGCCGCAGGGGAGGAGTCCACAAGATGCGTGAGCAAGGCCATCCCCTGGTCATCACAAAGCGAGAGCCCCGCGATTGTCTCCAGGACCTGGCTGCCGACGGCTGTCCCCACAAAGTCGGGGTTCTCGATCCAGGCCAGAAGCGCGGGAAGAGCGACGGCCGCCACCCGGGGTCGCAGCCCCGTGCTGGCCAGGTGCTGCAGCGATGTCAAGGCGTATTGGACCAGGAGCTCGTCGCCGTTGCCGTTGGCGTGGACGGACACAAGGCGGCAGAGCTCTTGCGTGCCTCCGGCATCCCAAAGGACGCCTGTGCATCCATTGTGAAGGAGTCACAGTAGGACAGGAAGGCAAGGATGATGAAGGAGAAAGGTGCACGCGCCAGGTCATGGGGCAGCTTGAGGTTGGGACTGCAAGCAACATGCATCGCTTGTGTCCGGGCATGCATGACAGACACCAACCCCCATGCCAAGACAGAATTGATGCACAAACATCAAGCACGCCTTCTGCTGACGCGAGTGCGCTTAGACACCGTGCGCAGCGAGACGGCCGCATCGCGCCGGCCTGCGTCCGCTCACCTGCCACTTGCTCCTTGACAGCCGGGGAATCCAGCAACAGTGTAAGTGATTCGGCCACAAATGCCACCGCATTGGCAATGGGGGACGACAGCAGCCGCACCGCCCAAGAGACCATGAGAGGGATTGCAGCCAAGGCTGCACTGGGCGGGGGCACCTCTACAGCTCCAGACGCCGCGTCAGCCGCGGTCCTCGCCGCCGCCCTTGCGGGAGAGGCCGGAACCCCCGCCGTTGGGGCCGGGCCGAGGCATGTTGCTAGGAAGCCGACCAGGCAGGCGACCACGATGTCTGAGTGACCGGTCGCAGAGGCGCGCGGGAGGGCCGCGGCAGCCGCAGCTACGGTCCCCTGGTCGCGGCGCACGCGTGCGCGGACAGCGGGGCTCGCCATGCACAGCGTGGTGAGGGCCCTCAGCGCATTGTAGGCGGTGTCGCCCCCTAGGTGTGCCGGCACGGTGCCGGCCGCGGTGGTGGACGTGATGGCGTGGGCTGCAGCTTCCAGCAGAACGCCGACGATGTCGCCCCCATCCCCTGAGCTGTCTGCCCTCAGAACCGTCCGTCTGCCTGTGTCAGTGCTGATCAGCCGCTGCAGCAGCGCGGCGGCGGCGGTCATGATGTTCACACCCTGCTCGCCGGAAATCATGACGCTTCGCCAGCGACGCCCGGCAGCCACGAGGGCCGACATGATGCCCGGACAACTGCCAAACTGCGCAAAGGGACGTGGGGGTTTGGGGGGACGGATGGATGGAGGATAGATAGATAGATAAGTTACTCATACCATAGCATCACTGCCATCGGCCTCGCGC